CTCCCGACCACCGGGGAGCGCAGTACGTGGGTTTGCCCTTTGCCCTCCCGTCCACCGGGGAGCGCAGTACGTGGGTTTGCCCTTTGCCCTCCCGACCACCGGGGAGCGCAGTACGTGGGTTTGCCCTTTGCCCTCCCGTCCACCGGGGAGCGCAGTACATGCCCTTTGCTGTAAGTGGAAGTGGGTGGTTTTAGTGTGATGAAGCGGCTAGATGGGGTACCGTCACCCTGTGCCACACGTCACTTCGCCTTTTAAATCCATATCTTATAGACTATAGACGATTTTGGCAGCAGTTGTGTTTTAAAGTTCTTGTTCTATCAAATTGAGTTTAGTCTAGGGGTGTAACAATACATCGATTTGTATCGATATATCGATTCAACGGCAAACGATCCGATGCATCAATGTGACCGCATAAATATCGATACATGCGTTTTTATTTTCTCGCCGGTTCCAGTATTGTTTTCATGATCTACTCCGACATATACATGGTCTACACCAGGGGTGCCCAATAGGTCGATCGCGATCTACTGGTCCATCGCAAAGGTAGTGTGGGTAGATCTTTTGGCATAAAAAATAGAGGATGACGCGTTCAACCGCGCCAGCTGCTGCAAGCTACCGAGTCGCCTCGTTAGCCTCCAATTTCTTTCTACTAAACTTAAGAAAGGGTATAAAAATGAATAGGGGAGCTGGACCAAGTAAGAAGCCTCTAGCACACGAGACGGTCATACGAGGAGGTCATGACCGTTATGGACATACTTTTTGTTACACTTTTGTATTTGTCTGGAGAAGACTTGATTCAAAATAAAAAATTATTCACCATGTTAATCTACATCCATCCAAAGTTTTTATTTTTGCCTTATTGCACTTTATTTTGCTTGATTTATGGGACATACTTGACTGCACTAGATTTTGTTTACAGTTCCCAATAAAATATGATAAAATGCTAATTATATTTGCCTTTTAATCCATTGAAATGTAAAGGATTGTGTGAAATTTCATCATTTCGACTACTATCCCCAGTATCGAACTGAATTGAATCATATCGCATCGTATCGTAGGAATTTCTGAGGTATCAAAAAAAATCGAACCGTTGGCTTAAGGAATCGATACTGTATCGTATCGCGAGGAAAGCTGTGATTTACACCCCTAGTTTAGTCTGTGCATTGGGGTGTAAATTTGTGCTTATGTTTATGTGTAGTCTCTCACTGTGCGTGTGCGTGTGTGTGTGCGTGCCCATAGCCACCCCTGCTATAAGAGAGTATATCTTTCCCTATGTATCTGTGTGGGGAGGTTGAGGGCATGTATGTATTACATTGTGGGGATTAAATATCCCTGCAGTGTGATAAAAACCTGTTATTTTGACCTTGTGGGGACACAAGGTAATTGCAGTCAAGAAACCAAGATAGGCGAAAGTCTAGTTTTTTGTTTGGTTACTAATGATTAAGGTTAGGGCTGGGTACGGGTTAAGGTTACCATTCCTGGGAGGATTAGAGTTTTTCACCATAGAAATGAATGGACGGTCCCCACAAAGACATGAATACACGTGTGTGTGTGTGTGTGTGTGTGTGTGTGTGTGTGTGTGTGTGTGTGTGTGTGTGTGGGTGTGTGTGGGTTTGCATAGATCACATTTGAGGACCAAATTGTCCCCAAAGTGTAGTAAAACCTGAAATTTCCCTACTTTTGGGGTTATCTTTTGAGGTTAACCTCAGTTTTATAAAAATTTTGAATACAATCAAGACAGTAAAAATGCCAAAAGTCTTGTATTTTAGTTGGTTGCTTATGGTTAAGGTTAGGGATGGGTAGAGGTTAAGGGTGTCATGATTGGGATTAAGGTTTTTCCCATAGAAATGAATGAACGTCTCCATTTAGATAGGAAGACCAACTTGTGTGTGTACAGTGTGCGTGTGTGTGTGTACAGTATGTATGTGTGTGTGTGTGTGTACCAGCTGCTCCATGATCTGCTGTAGACCCGTCACCTGTGCTGTCCTGCTTTTTTATCATGCCATGTTATCAAGGGCAACAGGTGTTATATAGCTAGCAACACAACACAGTGCTACCTGCTTATTAAAGCTTTGACACTGTAAACAGACAGCGACATGCTGTTAGAAGCCAAAGTCAGCTGTAGCTTCTTGTTTTTAGACATAATCATCAGATAAGAGTGATTAACAGACACGAGAGAACGGGCGTCTGTCTCATTTACGGTTCCCCTGCTTGCATGCTGAAATGGCAGCTTCTCTGAGCACATGCACCAAAAGCAGAACCCTGTGCGTCTCTGGGCTGCATTGTTCTATGCGAAGGCTGTCTCTCTGAGCTGAAACAGCTCTCTGTTTGCCTAAGCTCTGCCACTGCTTGTGTGGAATTACATTGCTTTCTACTGGGAGAAAAACACATACTATGCATCATATATATCTCTTTGTGGTATGCTGAGCAGCTGCCTAAACTTGGCTGCCTGACTAGTGACAAATGCAGAGATAATGAAGACTTTGTAACTTGCTGACATTTGGTTGACCTGGTCAGTAAGGGCGTGCGGAGCAGTGTGCCCAGTGGGTGACAGCCAGTGCCTCTCTGCCCTCATTGGCTGAAGTATTTCCTCTTACCTTTGCTACTGTTCTGCTGATGAAAAACCAAACAAACAATTGCAAACAATTTTTCGTTTAAAAAGCAAGGATCACAAGGCTTCTAAGGAATGAATATAAGGGGAAAAGAGATGGCCAATTAGCTTTTTAGCCACTGTAAGTCCTAGTATTCATTAAATCTAAATTACAGGAACACACAATGTGATTTTTTTTTGCAATATCTTAAACATTTAAAATGAATCAAATGCTACCTTGGCAGCCAAGCTCACAGGTGAGTATCCAATTTGTTTCCAAATCACTGTCCTCATGAAATAGGCGAGTCGGCGGAATTTACTCTGACACAAGCAGGTATTCATGAAACAAAGTTGACTTGGAGTAAGTGGATCAATCAATGCAGTAGATGTATATCTTGCTGATTAAGTGATTTTAAGAGCCTAAACAATCTGAGATGGTAACGCAGCACTTTGCTATATCTTTTAAAGTAGCTAACATAATTATAGGTCGCTAGCTTGTGAGCTAGCTAGCTAAATAATAGCTGACAGCATAACACCTGAGAGCGTTTATTGAGTTCCCTAGCAACTGGTGGGAGCAGCACCGCTCCCTGGAAGCGTTTGCTGTCAAGGTGGACTGTCGAACTTTTGCAGACGGTGCGCTCCAAGCCAAGAGCATTGCTGTGTGAACCCATATTCTATTTTTATGCAAACAAAACCAGCCCGACTTCCTAGTTGTTTTAATTACTTGGTTAGCATTATGCAACGCACGGTAATCGAAATGTGAAGTGTGTGAGACCAGCTAACTTTAGTTAAACCTGTATTGTTCTTGTGCTCGTTATACGTGCATTATTAATAGCTGGATAATCCAGCCCGCGGCGTTTCACATTGTGGAAGGCTAAATAATGCCCACCAGGGACTGGGCACAGGCAAATGCTACCACACTCAGCAGTTGGTTCCAGGGCTGCAGTGAGCCTGCAGGTCCTTGACATTGTTCAGGTTCTTACGCTTTATTTTGATTTCATTATTCCTCCCAAATATGGTTGTATGGTGTGTTCTTTTATAACTGTCAATCGTTATGCAACATTCAAGCTGGTGGGGGATGTATGTATATATTTCTATATAATTATGTGTAAGTCTAGTAATAAAAAAATGCTTCATTGTCCCAGTAATTATGTAATTATAGACCTACTGGTGTACTACATCAGAATCAAAAATGAAAGGAGTGTCTCCAAAAACAGAAGCTGGTTCTAGCAGAGCTATATTTCTGCTTCAGGTTCCAAACTACAGCATTATTTTTTTGCCATTTTGCTGTATGTAAACAGCGATAAAACTTCTGAAATTTGATACACGATACTTTTAAGAGGCCTTCTGGTTGAGATAGTAGTTTATCCATTTGGCAGATGCCCTTTTTTGGGGCCTTTGCCTCTAAATCTCTGTGCATGGAATTTCTGGTCAGATTACATGGCATAAGGCTCCTGTAAGTTTTAGATCTTCTAGTTTGGAGTTCTTCATTTTCAGGTACCATTTTTTATTTTTTTTTTAACCCTTTGAACAGTGCTCTCCATCCATATCGTGGCTTGGTTTTTTGACTTTTTTGAATGGGCAGTCTGCATGCATAGATGGCCCCACGGTTCTCCTGGTATGAAATGCGGTGCTTTGTCGACATTACGGGTTGTGGGACGCCCTCAGTGTTGTGCTCCTATCACCTGGCCTCTTGTCTACTCAAAAATTCCTGCCTTTTCTCTTCGCCCCACCACATTCTGCACGAAAGGGAAGATGTGGGCGTCTTTACGCATCACTTTGATGTTCATTTGTGATTGGCTCATTCCTCAGACTCCCGGAGGCTGGAGTGAGGAGGGCGGGGAGAGAATCCTCCACCAGCGTTCAGCGTCATGGGGCAGCGCCGACCAGCTCAAAGAGGTACGCAATGAAGATGCCTGCGAGGATGCTGATTGCTACAGCATGTTTGTTTGGGGTGGGTATCTCGTATACTGCCCCCTCTTGGATGGGCAGGGGCGGTGGGGGGGCAGGGGTTATCCTGTCCTGGGGATCTTCTGCCTGGAACCTCAAGGGGCTGACTGGCATATCTCACCTTCATAAGCCTGAGTCAGTAGCCTGACCTGCGTACAAAGTCACATGCAAGCTTGATGCTGGCTATCTGTGTCCTCCTCTGATTTGTCTCATTTGAATTGTAAAAATATTGAACATATTTAAGTAGAATAAGAGGTTTGAAAACAATAATGACAATATCTCTATCGGTGAAACGACAGAATAGACCGACCCCCTGCAATTTATAGATGGGAACCATAAACCCTGCTTTTTTATGCCGGAACGCTACGTGTTTCGCTGGCTGTTGCCACATCATCCTTTCCGTTTTCTCATACCCTTCACCCTGTTCTATTTATAACTTCCTGCTGCGCCTCCATTTTTTTGTGGGCTGCTATTTTACGTAAGGAACGGGGGGGAGACGGCGTATTTGGCGAGCGCTGGGCTTATCAGCCCTCCGTGCTGTCACACAGCTGTCATGCCAGCAGCGGGCCAAACGGTGATTGCATTATCTCCTTCAGGACCACCCGCTGTCGCCCGCCATTTATAAGCCCATATCCTTTGGGACAGTGCAGAAGAGGCCACGGGGAAGCCCCCGCATCACGATGCCTTTGGGTCCGTCTGGACATCATCCTTCGCTATTAATGTGCTTCAGCTTGGGCCTCCTTTAATTAATGTCTGTAAGGTTTTTTTTTTCTTTCCTTCTTTCCAATGTATCGCTGGCCTGTAACCAGAAATAATTTTCATTGGGGGGGGGGGGGCTCGGTAGATTGTGCCACCCAGGGGACTGAAGCAAAATTTGAGGGGGATTCGAAATCATATTTTTACAATCTGTCTACATGCCTGATTGCTAACAAAAGAATTTGGGGGTGGCAGGGGGTCCATACTCATTATTTTACTGTGCGCCGTCATGTCTGCCGTATCGGATCTGTTTCAGATCTTTGATGCGTGATTTTGGAATGAATTATTAAACACTTGTCACTGACAAACACAAAACAATTCCTTTGGATTCGTGTATCCTCTGGAGGATGTAGTTTATGTAATTTGTTATATCCATTCGTCGTCTGTTCTGCTTTTTCTGTATACGACAGCGGGGAGCCTGGAAACTATCTTAAGAAGCAGGAAGAAGTAATTAGTTACATTTGTTTGATAATTTGTTACATCTGATAAAACATATTTGTTACAAGACGAATAAATAGCAGATGATTTAAAGTACTACACATAAACCGTTTCTCCTTATTTTTGCAAAAATAAACAGTGTATAAAAATACGAGCCATATCCGACAATCATGTAACATTATTACCGACAAACTCACCCTCAGTCTCTTTTCTTCTGAGCTGCTTCTTATCACACCGATGCTTTTAGGGGTAAGTGACACATGGATCATTAGTGATCAGGCATGATCACACTTAAAATCCTGCCGGAACCTTAAAACCCAAGTACTCTCATACAAACAGCGAAGCAAAATTCATCTCGGTCATAATCGCAATCGCTACGTTTGCTGTAGACCTCGGTCTCCGTGTCAGGTGAGCTCCATTGGCAGCAGTCCTTACTGAAATGCTCTGAACATGTAGTCCCTGAAAACTGGAGTCTGGTAGCCATTATTGGTCCCTCATTTGTTGGTCAACCCGCTGGCATGCAGGCGGGCTAAGATGAAAGTTGAGCATTATCTCTAATCACCAGTCATTTTGCAGAAGGCTTCGTTGTCATGATGAGACGGTTTTCTCTTCTTATCAGATAATATACCCGACAAAAAGGATTTATTGAAACCATTCTAGTGAAGTCAAGGATCCTTTTAATTTGCAAAAGGGGACCAGATTTTGTATGTTGTGTAAGGGGGAGGGAATCTACTAAGGAAATAAGTCTCATGATGTTCTCACCCTCATTTGTGTACCTTTGCTAAAATCCTATGTTTATTCCGTTCATAATGCATGCAAGTACCATCGTGGGGGGTAAAAGCACTGAAGATTTGCTCTGTGTGATTATATGCAAAACTATGACCTTTGCCTTTTAATTTGAGGACTTGAATATAGTTTATTGAGATGGTGGTCTCCCCCGTTAAGGGAAAGAATACACAATGCAGATCTGCTGACTTCTAATCTGCAATAACCACAAGGTACCTCTCACACTATAAACCATATTCAACAAGCCAGCTCGATGTTGCTTACTTATGACCTTGACTGTCCTCCCACACAAGCACTTTATGCACATACTCTGTTCTTTGGGCAAGTCCAACTCGTCAGCATTCACAATTATATGATTTTATTTATATCTTTATTAAGAATGTTTTACATAACAATAACCGTCACGGGTGTCTCACTGAGATTTCAGCCTGGCTCCTCCTCCCCCCTCAGTGTCTCGCCCCTCAGTTCCAGCTCCCGCTAAATATTTTAAAGGTGTGTCTGACGTGCCAATGTGTGTCCCGCTCTGAACACGAGTCTCCACAGCACTGCTCTGTTGACCATCTGACTAGGACTGTATGACTCGCATTCTCCAGACAGGAAGTACAGAAGAAGAACAACCGAAGACGCGTTCTAAGTATGTTAGGCGCAAATGACAGTCATGCAGTCATGTCGCTGTAAAAGTCTGCACTGGAGTGCGGTTAATGCACAGGCCTCCATGCACTGTAGGTGCACCACCGGCAGCTTCCTGCCACCACATCCTCCATCAGCACGCCGCCCCTCCCGCTTGCGTCTCTGACAAGTAGCAGCAGCAGCCCTGTTTTTAATAAAACAAAAAGAATTGACATAATATTTGCCAAGTGTTTGTTTATGGTTTCGACTTGGGTGCAGGATTAGAGAGATGATCCCCTTTTCCGTCCGAGTGAAAAAGCCTTTGTGGTCGTCAGATTGGACAATGCTTCTGACGCAGTGAAGCTGGGTTAGGGTTTCTGCGTTTGTCTCATTATACTGGTTACTGCATCTCATAAACACCCTACCCAGCCCCCCCCCCCCAAGACCCTCACCAGAATAATATGTTAGCAAATGGGTGGATGGTCCCCATAGAAATGTAAGTATAGATTGAACAGAACTCTTATTTCCTTCTGCTGCTTCACTGACTATGGGTGGAATAGTGAGACTGCAGAATCTCTGTGCAGTGAAGATGGGGAGAGGTTCACTACTCTGTGAAAGACTGTGGGCAAATAGTGCAACAATTTTAAGAATAATGTTCCTCAACGTAATATTGTAAAAAAAATGTAGGAATTTCAACATCTGTGGTATATGATATTATTAAAAGATTCAGAGAATCTGGAGAAAAGAGGAGAGGGACCATCCAGCTTGGTATCAGTGGACAGTTTAAAAGCCAGCGTCCGTGATGGTGTGGGGGTGCCTTAGTGCCCATGGCTTGGGTAGCTTGCACATCTGGGAAGGCACTATCAATGCTGAACGATATACAGGTTTTGGAGCAACATATGCTGTCGTCCAGATAATGTTTTTTTCATAGAAGGCCTTGTATGTCTCTGCAAGATAATGCCAAACCGCATTGTGCATGCATTACAACACCATGGCTCTGTTGTAGAAGAGTCTGGCTGCTAGAGCAGCTTCCTGCAGTCCAGACCTGTCAACCACTGAAAACACATGAAACAAAAACTACGACAAAGGAGACCCTGGACCGTTGAGCAGTTGAAATCTTATATCAGGCAAGAATGGGACAACATTTAACTTTCAGAACTCCAGCTACTGGTCTCCTCAGTTCCCAAACATTTACAGAGGGTTGTTAAAAGAAGAGGTGATGCAACACAGCGGTAAACATGCTCCTGACCTGACATTTTTGAACATGTCACAGGCATCAGAATTAAATTAAGCATGTATTTGTCATGAAACTGAACGTTATCAATGTCGTCAGCAGCCTGAATACTTCATTTCCTCTTGCACAAGAAGAGCAAGTCTGGGCTTGAAACTATTGATTCTTCCCTATGGCTGAAACCAGTGGAGGAATCCACACAAACCCGGTCTCTGTGTGCCTCCGCGTTATCGCGAGCGTGAGCAGCCATGCTGCCGTAATAAGGTTGCTGTCTGTGCACTTTGCACAGGTGTCCGGACCCCCCGGGTGGCCCCCGAATAGCCCGCACCCCGTGGAGGAGGATAGCGATGATCGTGCACAAATACAAACTAAACCAAACACGGGGAGAATGCTTTCCTCTAGAAAAGGAAAGATGCAAATATTTACAGACACTGGATATACGCCTTAGACTAATTAGAACAACGAGTATGCTGAAAACAGCCAGAAGATGATGGCCTCACCGGGCTGGTAGAAGCACATTTTTATAGAAAGTCAACAGTAAAGTGATCCCAGTGTTTAATCAGCACGATTCTTATCCATGGGTGGGTTCATGTGCCTTGTAGAACTGAACATGGCATCGCATGAGATGAACCAGCCAATGGGGATGGTTAGTTGTGTACTCTGGACCAATAGAATGTTTTTTCTGTAACTTATGGCGACGTTGTTTATTGATTGGCATATAATTGTCAAATTTGTGAGCGTTATCTTCTGTAAATCTGTAAATTGGTATATTTTTGTCTTTTGTGCTGCTTTTCTGGGCGTTACGCAGCAGGTGTTAGCTTTGCGGCGCGTTCGGAAATGACAGCCCCAGGGGACGGCACACCTGTTGCCCTGTAGTTAGTGTGCTCAGCGAGGTTTGGGCTCTTACTCACATCTGCATGCCTGCTCGTCTGAGAAAGGGTGTTTAACATGCTGGCTGAAAACAGGATTCTGCGAGAGCTGCACCAGTATGTGAAGCCATCTGCATTATACAACCCGTAAAAATGCAGCCCCTATCCAAAGCAGAGAAAATGTGCACTCCCCCCTTGCTTCACGTAGACAGTTAGCTACCTAGGTAGGTAGGTACAGTAGGTAGATGGGGTTGGACGATATCACTTTGCAATATAATTACGATTGTATGGCGCATATACTGACTGACACGAGTGAGTGAGTAACATGTAAGTGAGGCAGTCTGGGTGTCCGTCCATCCATCAGGGCTGCACGATGTCACATCATTGCATGCGCAATAATCACCAGGGCTTTAGAATGATGGGTGCAAACATTTGTCCAAACGCCGACTCCAAAGAAGTATATGGACGTTTACTTGCGACCACAATTTGGTAAACAGATTAGTAGTACGCCTAAAACTAGGAATGTAACGGTACACTTACCACGTACCCACAGTGCGGGACATGGAACGCAGTGGGACCAGCAGATTTTTGAGCTGTCATGCCTGCCGCCCATCCATGCATATCCTGTGTCCCCCAGCAGATCGCAAAGCTGAGGCAGCAGCTTCAGCGCGGCAAGCAGGCTGGCAGGCAGGGGAGGGAGAAGGACCGGCTGTCGCCCCAGCAGAGCGGGACCCAGGGCACCGGGAGCCCGGCTCAGGTGAGACTCTGCCGGCTGTCGCCAGCGAGGGAGCGCCCGCATGCACGCACACACACACACACACACACACACACATGCACACATACGCATACGCACGTACACACATACATACGCACACATATGCATACGCACATACACGCGCACATACGCACACATATGCATACGCACATACACACGCGCACATACGCATACGCACGTACACACATACACACGCGCACACACACACATACGCATACGCACGTACACACATACACACGCGCACATACGCACACATATGCATACGCACATATGCATACGCACACGCGCACATACGCACACATATACATACACACGCATACGCACACATACGCACACATACGCATACGCACGTACACACATGCACGCACGCATACGCATACGCACGTACACACATACACACGCGCACATACGCACACATATGCATACGCACGTACACACATACACACGCGCACATACGCACACATGCATACGCACGTACACACATACATACGCGCACATGCGCACATACACACACATACGCATACACACGTACACACATGCACACACGCACATACGCACACATATGCATACACATGCACACACGCACATACGCACACATATGCATACACACGCACACATACGCATACGCACGTACACACATACACACGCGCACATACGCACACATATGCATACGCACATACACACGCGCACATACGCACACATATGCATACGCACATACACACGCGCACATACGCACACACACGCATACGCACATACACACGCATACGCACATACACACGCATACGCACATACACACGCATACGCACATACACACGCACACACACGCATACGCATACGCACGTACACACATACACACGCGCACATACACACGCGCACATACGCACACATATGCATACGCACGTACACACACACGCGCACATACGCACACATATGCATACGCACGTACACACACACGCGCACATACGCACACATATGCATACGCACGTACACACACACGCATACGCACACATATGCATACGCACGTACACACACACGCATACGCACACATATGCATACGCACGTACACACGCGCACACACGCATACACACACGCACACATACGCATACGCACGTACACACATACACACGCGCACATACGCACATATATGCATACGCACGTACACACATACACACGCGCACATACGCACACATATGCATACGCACACACATACGCACGTACACACATACACACGCGCACATACGCACACATATGCATACGCACGTACACACATACATACGCACACATATGCATACGCACGTACACACATACATACGCACCCATATGCATACACACGCACACACACACATACGCACTCATATGCATACGCACACATATGCGCACACACGCACACACGCGCACATACACACACATATGCATACGCATATATGCATACGCACATACACACATACACACACACACACATGCATATACTATTTTCTTCTTTGGGGCCACAGACATTAGCAGGTCACCCCCCCCAGGTAACAGCTGCTCTCGATTGCAAACGGGCCGCTTGCATTTAAGAACTGGAAAACGGGAGGGACAGCAGAGAGAGAGAGAGAGGAGGGGGGCGAGTTTGCACATGGCCTGTTGTCCTCCGTGGCAGAATGAAGTGTGTGACGGGTGTGGAGGGTGACTGGTGTGGAGGGTGACAGGAGCCATTTGCCATTAGTTGCTGGAGTTTCTAAGTATAAAAATTAGTATTAAGTAGAACAAATGTTAAAAATAAAGTACTTGTACTGTACAGTTATCCTGTAAATCATTTAATCATCATTGTATCGCGGTTCGTGGAACCTTGTATTCGGGATTATGGATGTTACATTGCCATGCTATCTGTCGATGAATAGAATGCTCCTGTGTCCTCAGCCTGCGTCGAAGTCGATCCCAGTGCCGCTCTACAGCTCCTTTGTGACGAAATCCTCCGTCGTCCGGGTTCCCAACAGCGTCGAAGGCATAAACCACGAGCTGGAGAGGGTGTTCATCAATGACAACGGGGACAAGGAGGAGCTGAAGGTGCGTCTACACCTGTGTCCCACTTGTACTTCAGAACGGGGGGGGGGGATGTATGCTCTCTCTCTTGCTTTAAGTTATAGAAGCACGTCTCTGTTTCATTTCAAAGACACTTCTATTTTCTTTAGTCCAAATTCAGTGAACTTGATTGTCCGTAGCGTAGCCACAGATCAACACAGACTGTTGTAATGATTTTTCCCTAAGTTACTCTCTGATGGCCGAACTCTTGTGCTTCATGCACCCGTTATTCCCACATCGCCCCCAGGTCCTAGAGGTCCCGGACGGGCGGCGTGCCCCCTGCCCCCCCCAGCAGCGCAGCAGCAGCACGCGCAGCATCGACACCCAGACGCCCTCCAGCCCTTCGCCCTGCCCCTCGCCCCCCTACCATCCAGGCTTCCGGGATGGGAGCCCCTGTTCTGCCGAGGACCTGCTGTACGAGCGGGACAAAGGTAGTGAGGCCACCCCTGGGGAGGTACCTGCAGAGCGCTTACTTCGTAGTCATGGTTACAGAAGCCATTTGGTCTCGGGTCCTAAAAAGGAATCCATAATGGTGGTGATGATGATGATGATGATGATGATGATGATGATGATGATGATGATGAATAAGATTAGATTAAGGGCCTATTGGAGGAAAACACTTGTTTATGTGTACGGTAGTTGTGGGGATGTCTTTCACCAGCCATTTTCCGACTGTAGCTCCTTCAGTTTAACAGCTTTGACGTAAAAAACCAGAGCAAAGTTTCTCCTGAAAAAACAGTAAAGCTCCGAACAGACTGAGAGTCAGCAGGCAGACGGCTGAGTGACGCAGCCGGTCCGTGATCAGAGTGGCGCTCACGGAAGTGGAGATGGCATCCAGCCATAGAGTTTCCATCTCTCTGACATTTCTCCTCTGCAGACGGTGGGAGTGGGTCCCCTTTGCTCAAGTTTGCCTCTTCTCCCAAGCCAAACAACAGCTACATGTTCAAGAGAGAGCCCCCAGAGGGCTGTGAAAGGATCAAGGTGTTCGAGGAAATGGCGTAAGTAGCTCCGCTTTATCGTATGCTACACATTTAGCCGTGTGAGGACCCAACCGAGGACCCTTTACAATGTTCTTTGTTTCACCTAGTGGAGTTAGTGTTTGACCATGAGAATCATCCCTGGTGATTTATGGCTGCTAATTCCCCTGCCTTATGAGATTCCTTGATGCTAGCTGATGGCCTGTTGGCAATAATCTATAGTGGTCCTCAAGCACAAAAAAAAAAAATTTAAAACTAATTTAAAAATGCATCCATATTAGGACTGCTTATCCGAGTCATTTCTAGTGTAAATAGAAAATCAAAAACAAAATTATATTCAGAAATCAAATCAGCAGAAAATAAAAACGTCACAAAATAAATACCATTAAAAATCTAAAATACCAAAAACAGAAAGAAAAAAAAATTCAAAGAACATTTTAGAACTTAACGGACTGCAAACATTTCAGAGAAGCCTTTACTATGGATGAAATCACTAACATCACGAAGAAGCATTTCAACATTGTGTTGACAGCAAACACAGACTTTCCACAGTGAAGTAGACAGGTGCAACGAGGACAGATAAGTCCTCGCTATTGATTGAAGAAGCCAGGTGTCGAATGCTGTTTTATGAAAACAGAAAAACATATGAGGACGATGCTGGTTTAACCAAATGCTTATAAACTTTAGGCCAGGTGGGTTGTTTCTCATCTGGGTTTCTATCTGATGCAGTATTTAAACACTCCACAGAAGTGATTGTTATGGAAACTGAACCAATCTATCCATGTGTCTGTGTTGTGCTTGTTTAAAGAGTAGTGGGGCACCACCGTTCTTCTCGGAGTGACCTTTACATTCCAGCTAATTATTTGAGGTCGAATCTGACGTAGGGATGAAACCGGGACCTACCTGATTTTACTGCAGAACGTTTAAAGTGCAGCCGACTTCTTCAAGCTATCAGAACCTGTCCTATGTATAATCTGTTCATCCATCATATAAGCACTCTGTGTCCTGGTTACGTTAATCGGGCAGACGTTTCATCCAAAGTGAGAAAGCAGGGTTGCATCGAGGGCCTTCCTCAAGGACCCAACAGTGACGTCAGTCTGCTAGCCGTGGGACTTGAACCAGTAACCTTCTTATCACAGGGATAGCATCCTAAGCTGCTAAGCCACACACCGGCCCGTCATAGAGCTATACCTAGGTATGTGGGTGGGGCCTGGACCAAATCCCTGGCAGTATGGGTCTGAAGACTGGGGTACACTCTGAACAGGGTGGACCAGTGACTCTGAAGCAGCCCGACAGCTCACTGGTCTGACGGGTTCCAGTCATTCAGACAGTTCCACTGTACTTCAAAGGAAAAGCTATTTAACACCCATCCCTCCCCCAGTAAAACGCCCCTGTTTGCTGCATTTCGTTATGGCGCCATTGTAGTCTTCCATAATGTGGCTGTTCTGACAGGAACATCTCTCCGCTTCCTACTCCCACCAAATAATGACACAGTGAGAATCTATTTTCGTCAGTGTTCCTGCCGTTTCCGTTTCGGAAAGAAAGTTTCTGTGTTTGCTGTCAGTGTTAAAAAGTTCCCTGAAATGTTTTGGCTAGACCAGTGCTGCTTTAATACACTGACGGTGATTTTTTATTTTTTTTTCCTTTTTCATTTTAGTCAGTGTTCTCTGAAATGCGTTTGTGGTTCATTCTGAACTGTCATTGTCATGTTTTGTTGTACCTCTGGACCATCATACTAACACACTCACCAAGGAATGAAACAAGAGAGTACTCGTATTAATACTTATCAAAGGTGTTTTGCGCCAATTCCAGCTACAGTGAGAATTAATATCTTAAAGTAACGTAAGATTTCACTGGAATTCCTCTTGCTGCACCTAACCCAACCTGCTAGCTTTGACTGGTTTTCGTTTCTGTCTAAACTTACATATAGGTCTATTGATTTTGAATATTAATGTCATTTGTGTATAAATCAAGCAGATAGGGTGGGATTAAATTAGCCTTCACAGGTCTTTCTTAGTCCCGTCATGTTTTGTTAGCTAACTTGAGTGACTCAACTACAGCAGCCTAGCCAAAGTGGGCTGTCATGAAAGGTGTGTCATGATATTTTTGTCTGAATATTTGCCCCCCTCCCATCTTCCTCTCACCAGGTCTCGCCAGTCAGGCTCCATTCCTCTCTTCTCATGCCCTGACAAAAACAAAGTGAACTTCACCCCAACTGGCTCTGCCTTCTGTCCCGTCAAACTCCCAGGCTCCTCTCCTTCGAATCCTGGACGTGCGCTGGGCCCAAGTCATGACACTGGATCTGGCTTTGCCTCGCCATACTCTATGAGCGTCGAGTCACTCGCTCCATCTGTAACTCAGGTCTCTGCTAGCACCAGCACAGATGAGTCCCCTGAGGGCCCTGCAATGCCCCCCCCACGCCTCCAGGGGGGGTCAGCTGATCCTCACTCCTGGCCTCAGAGCTTTATCATTAGTTAGTCATTAGCAGAGCTGGTATCTGCTTCTCTCACCCACCCATAGCTGACAGCAAAGCCCTCCCCCCTTTCCGAAGTCGTCCCGGCTGTCTGATGATCCCCCACTTTCTGCATGGAGTACCTACAATCTTTAGAACAAAAAAAGGCTAGCATAATCTAGCACATCCATCAATGATGTTCTAGCATAATCTAGCACATCCATCGATGTTCTAGCATAATCTAGCACATCCATCAATGATGTTTTGGCAGGGATTGGAATAATCTCATGTTTACTCTGTAATAAGCAGATGCTTGCAACTATGAAAGTGGAATTAGCGCTTGTCGTTGAACAGTGTTAAAACAGAGTTGTGGAATAGTGAGTGAGTGAGTGGGTGGGTGGGGGGTGAATGGGGGGGGAGAGATAAGCACCTACAACTAGATTATTTAATTTGGTACCTTGATGTCCTGTGTTGTTTCAATATTCACAGTTTGAATAAGCTGTTTATCCAAACAAAAAAAATGCCTGTTAAAACTGAAAGATCTATATTGCTGTGTCATTTTCAACAAAAAAAAATTCCCACTGTTTACAGTGAATCCAGGTTATGTACGCAAACTTTCTATAATGCAAAAAAAAAACGAAAGACAAAGAACACAGACGTGAGGCCTCATTGTTGCCCATTGGCCGCTTCAGGTTTCTCACTTCTGTCTAAACTCAGGTGATTTGGAATGTACCATGCATGGATTGATCCCAATCTGCAAAATTTTTTTGAAGCAGAGAAAAAAAAAAGCATCACTGTATTGCCTTTCCATTTTGTACATTGACCTTTTTCCTCATGACATTCCATGTTGTTGGACGTTGTGCTTTCTGCTCCGGGATTTATTTCCCGGAACGTGGTGGAATCCCGGCAACCAGCAGCGCTGGGGAACAGCGTCAGTATCACAGTATCGTCATTGTCCAGTTGTCTGTGGGAGATCCTTAACGGACAGTACGGACCCTCCCTGCCTTGACTGATGAGGCGTCGCCAAGTTATGTTCGGGACGTTTTAGTGTGAGGCTGTACCTGAGAGACACTCCTCGCATTCCTGGAAATGGAGTTCTTAGCCCAAACTGCAAATTAAAACATTCCGGGCCCTAAAGAGTGGTATTTGTTACCTGCACTATTGATGCGCTTGTGAAATGGCACAGCGCACATCCCCGTGCGATTATCAGTCACGGATGTGTTTTAATGACACCAAATGCATTCCATTTGCATGTCGCTGTTGCTGAATGGAATTAGTAGGATATCTGGAAAATGGTGACAAATTTGGTTGCCCTGACTCTAACAGCCACGTTCCCACTTGCATTAGTGGCATGTGCACCTTTTGGGGTTCAGACCTAGTCATGGCCTTACAATAGATAGTTGATGCAATTTTATCTAGTCCCACTTATTTTTTTCAAATGTATAGCCACTGACTGAGTGTCTATTTATAGGCAACCTTTTATTGTTATTCTAAATCTAAAATTGAAATATTTTCATGAAAAAATATGAAAGTCCTGGGCTTTTAATAATAAAGACTTACCATAAAGTAAAGCTCTTAAAAAAAAAAAACCTCAAACACCTTGCTGAAGGGGACAAATGTAAAGGGAAAAGCAAACTGCGTATTATTACCGTAGCGTCTGTCTTTACACAGCCAGTGAAGAGGCTTTCATACGAGAGACAAACTGGTTGTACATCCACAGACACGAATGTTTAGAAAACAGAGGAAACCACACAAATAGCACAAATTTCTGTCATCATCCACAGTCACTCGAGGTTAGAACCTGCTATAGTCCCCCAGCCTAGTGTTTGCAGAGATGAATGTAGCAGGATATGGTAATGTAATAAAATAAAAGCTCAACTAGTTTGTAAAATATTGACATAAGTTATTTTTCTTATTCTTCATTTTTGTATATTCATCTAAGAAGCATAGTAAAGCACTTTTCTGCATAGTTACTTGGTAACGATCAGGCGCCACATTCAAAGCTGTTTTGCCAGTTGCCACACATATTCAAATTTTGTTTTGTATTTTAATAGAGAGCTTTTGTGTCTTCAGTCAAATAAAGTTTCAACAAAACAAGAAACCGTGTGTCCCCTGTTTCCTTCTGTGTTGTGATCAAATAACTAGCACTTCTTGAATATTTTGAATTTTTTTATCATTATTGTTGATTTCTCTGAAGCAGCACATTCAATAGTAATAAGACAGAAACAGTGGAACAAAAGCAAAAATTCAAGTCACGCTTTATTGATAATAGTTGCATTTGTTATGACCAAAAATAATATTGATAACCTGTTAAGTGTAGACAGGAGAAAAAGCCAGTACAGCATAACATTTTTATATTGGTAAAAATGCAACACTTGGGGCTAGATTACAAAGAACACAATTCATAAATGATCAAAAAGCATTTGTATATTTATTGTATAAGCTAAAATCATTTAAACAGGGATGCCAACTCATTCATCTGGTGTGACATGCTTTTAGACTCACGCATGCAAGAAATCTTATGACAAATTTATATTATTCCATTATATATTTAAAATTTGCTACGTTGAAAGTGTTGGGGTGGTTGGCAAACGTTAAAGACTATTTACAAAGTAATAAAACTGTTACATGTAAATGCGTGTGTATGTGTGTGCAGATGTCAAACTGAAAATCTCATGCCAGCCAGCTGGCCGAAGTTGGCAACCCTGTTTAAAATTTTATATATATATATATATATATATAAATAATTGTATTAGACCTCAAAATGATTTGTTGCTTTAACATTTGCCATGAATATGTTTTTATTCTGCAAAGTTATTAGCTATTCAGAATAAGGCAAATAACATGTTCTACATATATTTCACTGACCTTCCCGCAGTGGCCCTGTACGATGGACCATCATAATCTGTCCCATTTAAAGTGAAATTATAGTGTAACTGGTTCATACTGACCAGGTGAAAAAAGTCAGTCACAAAAAGAATTATGTGACCTTGTATCATTAAAATTGTTGTGCTATGTTGTGTACTGGAGGTCCTTCAAACACATTTAACATTAAAAATGTAAGACGACACTCGTGCCTCACTGCTGCAAGGTTGGGGGGGTGTGTCGAGTCTGCATCTTCTCCTGGTGTGTGGGATTCCTCCAGGTATGCCAGTTTCCTCACTGGGGTCTACAAACATAGTTAGACTAACTAGTGCCCTTAAATTGTCCTGGTGTGTGTGTAATTGTACACATGTATATAAGCTGTGATGGACTGTCTAGGATGTAGCCCGGACTAGAGCCCCCTCAACAACCCTGACATTAGCAGTTACACAATGGATGGATTCAAATGTACATCAGAATATTACAGAAATAATTATGTTACACTGGAAGGATATATAGCACAGGGATGCTGATGTTTCTAGAAGACGAATGATCACCTCAAACTGGAATAAACATCTCTGGAATCTGACATATCAAATATTACTTTTTTTTTTTTTTTTATAACCAATGCAACCAATATTTAGTGATTAGTCAGATACACCGGACATGCAAGTGCTGAAACTTATGACCTCAAATTGAACTGAAATGACGCAGAGTGGAACAGCTCTGCATGACAAAACAACACACGCTGCATATAAACATACTTTCCAGTTGCTTTGGTATTCAGATGTAAGATCTACATCGAATTTGGTTAAAGTAAGTGGACTGGCTGTCTAATATTAGTGACATCTCACAATAATCAATCACACCTATCAGTAGACAATATTTATCAAGTTAAAACATAATTTGTCATTTATTTAACAATGCAGCATTTCATTGACCCTCTGCATTATTAGAATTTAGAATTTAGTGATTGTCATTGTTGACACACCACAGCACACAGTGCACAACAACGAAATGTGTTCTCTGCATTTAAAGGGGCAGCTGTCACTATCACTATCACTGTGGTTTGATCCAACAACTATGTCCAATTCTTACTTCTGTTAATTAATAGCAACTTATTAGTCACAGAAAGGGAAATCACAAGGGATTCCTCTTACACTAAGTGCCTAAGAAAGGAATCATAAGCTATAAGAATTATAACAGTAATTATTCTTACCATTCAATTATTACTTGTCCAAGTTGCTGAAGCTAAAATAAGGAGAAAATCATGGGGATAAGTATTCTAGAAAAAGAATTAAAACTACACATCCGTATGTATGTATCTTTTTTTCATGGCAGCTACCTGGTAAAAAACATGGAACCTATGGATCTTCTCTGCCTATCAGACAGGTACCAGGCACATCTGCATAGGTGTCGACCTCTTACTAATACTGGGACAGGACTCTTAGATCTTTAAGACAGTTGGTTACTTTTGATAGGAGACCAACACCTTTTATGTTAAATAGTGGTGTTTCAAATTCATATAAACTGAAAGTCAGTAAATGGCACACATTTGTAAAATACGGTGCAGTTTCATATGATTAAAGGCAATATTATATTAGGAAAGCTTACAAACGTCCTTTGGCTAACCAACTCTATTCATCTTCTTCTGGCAGTAATAACGACACGTATGCATATATGGAGTTTGTTATCGAAATTGTGTACAAACACGTCTAAATCCATCGCGCTGCAGCATTTAACGCAAAAGAGCCACGCGGCTTTATGCATTCAGAAGCTCGTGCTCGTTGTCAGTTTTCCCGACTGCGTCTGGGTTCGCCAGAGGGTCCAGGTCAGCAAAGAGGCTGAACCATGCAGTGAGATCTTTAGAGGTCTCCAAGGATCCTGTGGAATTCCGAACAGAGGAAAAAGTCCAATTAGCGGTGATCTCAGACAAATGATTCAACTAATCTGTGGATTTAATGGCGAGCGCATAACAGCATTGTCCAACAGGCATTGATATCACACTTACCATTACATTATCAGAGTAACTGTAATATGGTCTTGTTAGTGTGATCTGTTATTAAGGTTACCCACAATACCTGTCGGCCTGCTGGAGTTCTGACTGCCCTCAAGTGACTGCTCATTTGGTGTTCTGGCAGCTTGTGGAACATTCCGGGACCAGTCTGTAATTGGAGTTAATATTTAGACAGCTCTAAAGTGGCATTCATGTATTTTAAAAGCAGTACACTGAAAAGGGAAAAAAAACGTTACATATATCTCAATGCAAAGCAGCTACGTAAATGAAACTGATATCTGTGCATTCTCAAAAACCCATTTCTTCTACAAACTAGTAACAGCTGTGAAATAATGTGCAAATAGGGCAAATATTTAGGAGACAGCTCCATCAAACATAATTGAGAGCCAGGTTTAAACCAGCAGTCACAGAAGGTTCTCTGATGGGGCTGAGAAAAGTCATCATTTGGGGGAGAATTCAAACCTAAACAACCGTTTTGGAGCACAACGAATAAAAACTGGAATGCCATTTCCAACACGGTGCCTAACAGCGTGGAAAATACATCCTGTTTGCTCAGAAATTCCTTCAGAAATCTTGTTCTTTGGGACTGTGATGAAATCCATGTTTACTGGCATCCTCAAGATCGTCTGGGAAGGTGAACAAGCAGACAAACCGTTTGGCTTGAACCATCTTAAACCAGTTAACTTGTTACATCCTGTATTCTGGACCCTTCCACGAATTTGTATTATACTCTGAAAATACGACAAAGTATGGCAAAGTACAGAGGCTTATTCCCCAATCTTGTCCTCTCGTCTGAAATATCCACACCCTCTCCATGCAACTTACATTTTTATGATGAAAGTATTAGATACTATTATTAAATTATTAAGTATTGCTGCCTGAAAACATTACAATAAAAAAAAAATGTATTCTCCGAGTCTTTGTCATACTTCAGGGGCGTGGCCACGAGGCCCTGGAACCAGCTGAAATCTGATTGGCCCCTGGAGTGCCCCCTCCCCTGTCGCTTACTGATTCAAAACATATCATTGGCTAATGATAAGCTTGGCCCTTCTGTATGAATTATGGCCCCTCTTATGCCACCCACCTTAAAAATTAATGTTCACAGAACAGTCAGCTACTGCGGTTCACAGTGCTTACAAGTCAAATACCATAAATAAGTAAAGAAAATAACAATGATAATAACAGACAACCATTGAATGAAATTCTGCATGGATGTAATGGAAAACGTATGAAGAAACACACCAGCGAATGACGACTGGAGGTTGTTCATGTTCTGGTCCAGCAGCTGGGAGGGGAGGAAGCAGGAGGACGACTCCTCAGGCGGAGCCCCCGCTGCCCCTGTCATGCTGCTGCCTGTGGGCTCCTCCTCCCCGAACACCTCCTGCCACTCCTTAGAGAAGTCGCCCTCGTCCAGCGTGGAGCTGTTAAGGATCTCGTTCAGGAATGCCATCCTGTCCCTTTGGCCACCCTCTGCCTCCAGGTAGTCTGATAACAGGTCTTTTGTCCCTAGAGAAGATAATGTGGCGTGTGGGTCAGACCAGTCGAGGTTCCTCAGCAATATTTATGTGTTGGGCCCTTGAGCGAGGCCCTTAACCCCCCCAAAGTGCTCCAGGACTGCCGGATAAATTACCCCGTGCTCGGAGCCCAGGCTTCGCTCTGATTTGTTTATAAAGCTCTGGAAAAAATTAAAAGGTCACTATTTTTTTTTTTTTTAAATCAGCATTTTTAAATCCTGGTTGAATTGTGGTTCTGCAGGCAGAGGCTGCGCTGAGCAGCAGGATGCTTCCAGGCTCAACGTTTCTAAGACAGTAGGACACGAGAAGCAGGTGAAGCAGGAGACACTGGGAACGACCAGAAACCAACCAGGTAAAGGGCAGGAGCAACTTTGTAATGCCAGACATGAAGACCCAAAAAGCAAGGAAGAAGTTCATCAGTGAGAAGCAAAAAAATGCCAGGCTGGAGTTTGCAAAAAATTTTTAGACTTTACACAGAAGCACACCCACAAATTGAGAAATGGATAAAACTAAAAATTTACCAGTGGTCACTTAATTTTTTCCAGAGCTATGTGTGTGTGTGTGTGTGCGTCTGTGTGTGTCTGTGTGTGCGTGTGTGTGTGCATGTGTGTGTGTCTGTATGCGTGTGTCTGTGTGTGTGTGTGCATGTGCATGTGTGCATGTGTGTGTGTCTGTGTGTTTCAAAGGAGAGTAAGATGGGGTATATGAAAAAGCAGCATTCTCATGTAGCTCTAGTCATAGTTGTGCAAATGGCAAATAAAGCCTCATAAAAAATTTTCATTTGCTTTTAAAATTATGGAGTACAGAGCTGAAAATTAGTGCATTGTACATAATCATGTACTGGAAATAACTAGACAATAACTGGATTTACTTAACAGTACTTAACAGTAAACCTGTAGTAAGCAAACTGTATTCGACCAGATATGATGCCTGGATTTTTTCCAAAACAGAGAGAATACTTTTAGTGAATCAAATACTCATTATTATGCATCAAGTGAATATATTTACACATTTGTATTTCTATAACATAGAATTTTAACAGCCGCATTTCACAGATTGAAGGCTGCATTTACTTGAATGAAATATCCAGTAATCTTCAGAAACAGACAGTGCAACATGTCTTCATGCCTTTGAAAGATTTGCCATGATTAGCTCAATTCCTGTAACCCATGCCTGAATTATCCTCATGATTGCAGCCCTGAATGAAAATTGACCACACTCTTTAATTAGGCAGCAATTAATGGAAACAATAAGACATCAAAAAAGCGGAGCTTAATTTAATCTGGTTGCCATGGTGCAGCCACACTGGCCTGAAAAGCAGTGATTCAAACTTAACAATGCAACAGTAACGTGAAACACCCTGCTGTTCAGAAGAGAGATGGTGCGTTTATGGGCAGAGGGGCCGACGCAATGCCACACATTGACATGATCCGTAAATCTCTTTACACGCCGTATAAGACGTGAAAACAGGAAGCGCTAACTCATAACAGCATTAGCAGAATCAGTCACACTGATGGCAAATGCCGCTCAGTAACGTCTGATGTGGTACTGTGCTCTACACAGCTTTCCTGTTATTCATCCACCTCTGATTTCAGATATACAATCAAAGCACAGAGGCGCCCAGTACAGAAATTCAGCACAGAGACTGTTGTTACCTGCGTTTTGCTTCTGACTTGTGTTTACATCTTCGAAAAAATTCTGCTCCAAACTGTCCTCAGCACCAACTTCACCTGGATTAATACAAAAAGAAAAGGTACTTTATACACACATGCTCTTTACTCCTGAAAACTAAACCAACGAAAACCAAAAAGATGGAACCCCATGCTGCTAAAGTACATCTCTGAGAATTCAATGAGAATTAAAATTAATGCATGAAAAGACATATTTACAGTAAAAAAAGCCACATAAAAAATAGTCATGACAAACACAGCATAATTTATAGTACCGGCTTGATCTGACCCTTTATTGTGATTTTCATCATCTATCGAAACAAGTCTGTAGAAAAAAAGAGGAATGCATTTTAGTTCTTAGTGGTGAAAATTTATGGATTACATTGGTTGTAAAAAGCCTAATAAAAACTAAGCTTCTAATCTCAGCATGCTTGGTATAAACACACAGGGATAGCATATACTCAAATATACATTACATACTTGTGAAATCTGTGTTTATATGGTCAAAACTTTTATTATGTGTTTCAGCAAGTGGGTTTCTGTTTAATTCTGCCTTCATTTAGAATTACTTGGTTGAATTACACATTGAAAATTAAATTACTAAATGTTATGACAAGGGGTAAACACACAAATATTTGAACTTACTCCTCATTCAGATCTGATGGTTTTTCCTCTTCCGGCTTTCCCTTCGTTTTTTTCTTTCCCTTTTTCCTTGCTTCCTGATCCATGAGTTTGTTTATGGGATCCTGTAATGTCTGAAGAACAACAGCAAAGTGGCTGACATTTTATGAATTATACATACATGCCATTCGGTCTCTCCACTCCTGTTTCCATCTGTCTTTCATTCTAACCTAGAAACTAGGATTTCAAAGTAGTCAAGTCTAATGAGGAGAGTTAAGAAAAAGAACTGTCTTTAACTCTGTAAAGAAACTGGCTACATTAATACATTACAATATCAGTAATTATACATTAGTATTACTGAAGTACAATGAAGTATGTCATGCAGCTCATGTAGTGTAGAACAGTCATATTACAAGTGCAATAATTTGGTCACATGCTGATTTGGTAAAAAGGTAAGATAAGCTTGAGTTGCATTAGTAAGTAATAACACATGTGTCTGATTTTCCATGGTCAAAGAGCCAAATTCAGAAAATGAGTTAAAAATTACTGGAGACTGACAAATTCTCGGAATATAATCAGACAAGACTGGCTTGAATAAATCACAAATAAACAAGATAGGCAGGAAGTTTAAACTGATCATTCCTGCTCATTGTAGCTGAAGTTTGTCTGAGGCCTAATTAGTTTATGGCTTTAATGAACGTATAAAGATGTCAAGCTGACAGTCTAGGAAGAATCCTGAGTATCACAATGGATCTTTAGGCATCGTCAACCGTGATCATACAGAGCCTGGGGATGACCTGAAGAGCGAGCAAGGAGAAAAGAGAAGTGGTTCCAAAACAGAGCCTTGGGGTACCCCAAAGACCCCGCCAACGGACTTGGTAAGTGTAACCATGGTAATAAGAGAATAATACAAAACGCACAAATTCCCAAATAAACATGAGTTATCAATGCAAATTTCAGGTCGATAAAAAGTGAAGGACCAAGGCAGAGGGAAAAAAGAAAGTTAAAAGAGCAAAAAATTCTGAAGTGGAAAAAAGAGAAATGTATTATTTCCTAGCTGATGGACCGAGTGTGATGTTTCAGGGCTCCTGGAGGTGAAATATAAAATAAAACACTGTTCCTCTGCCATGTAACTCTTCAGTTCAGCTGTACACACCTGCATTAGATCAGCAAGCACTTCCTTCAGAATGAAGAACCCATTTGATCATTTATATTCGGAATCAAAAAATCCTAACTGGTCCAATGAGAAATCAGGTAAAAGTTCACATTAGACAATTACAATAGTTAGTTGCCAAACTCAGAGACTCGCAGTACTGTTATAAACCGGTTTGAACTATTGTAACACAGATATAATTCATCGTACTTTCTGTGTCTTGTTATGATTACTGTACCAGCTCTGTGGCTATTTGCACACTCCCTGATGCATCACCTATTTATTACATGTTTATAGTCACTTCTGATATTGCACTGTCTTGTTTCTTCTTGCACTGCTGTTGTCCTGTATTGCACTGTTGTTTGTTCCACTGCCCCCCCCCCCAAGTACCTGTCCCCTGCTCTGCAACTGTAGCATAAGAAATTCACTGTGTTCCTCAGATCATACAGTATCTGACAATAAAAATTTTACATCTGATGACCGGCCATCTGAATCTTTGAACAACATATTTACTGTACCTTGAGAGTTGTGAACTCGTATGGCTGGTAGCCCTTGAAGCTCTCGTGAATAGCTGCCATAGTGTGGGAAGTCTTCTCCCAGAAATGCAGGAGGGTTGTCTACAATCAGGAGACAATATCGTACAATGTGTACGATTCACACATAGAACTCAACGTAATGGCCAATCACGACACATCAGGAAAGGTAAACCCAAGCTGCGTCCGCTGTGCTTGTATACTGTACCTGGTAAGTGGTCAGGACATGGGAGAGAAGGTTACACCGACTTGCGCCCAGTAAGTCCACTTTCTGGCAGACATCATTCTTCAGTTTGTCAAAGCCTGTTTTCGTGAGACGCACTTGTGCTTGGACCTAACCCAAAATGTACATATAATATACATACATACACATATATATAGATCTATCACTGATTACTTTGTTCTAAACATTATATACCTTAAGAACTGATTAATGTAAGTGAAATAGCACTGTTCTCAACTTTCTGATATTATACTCATCTCCTAGGATCTGGCTCCACCTAGTGGCAAAATTCTCTCACATACGTTTGGTCTAAAATTTATTTACTTTGCAGAGAGGAAACACACAGCTTCCCCCTTTAACGACCCAAAGAGCTACAATTAATTTACTAAAGATTTGGTGGCCTAGTTTTAAAATTTATACTCTGTAGTCGACCAATGACAATCACAAGACATCATCTTTGGGTTTCCGCTTTAAATAAGACGTTTTAAATTAACACATGGATGGATGGATGGATGAGAGCCCATTAATACCAGACCTTGCGGAACTTCTCCATCTGCTTGTACGTGTCGGGGTCCAGCTCTTGGGACACATCCTTCATCCAGAGCAGGGCTCCCCGATACTCGGTTCTGGACTGTTCCATCCGGTTCACCGTGAGCCAGGTGTCCGATATGGCTCGGTACCGGAAGGTCTCCACCTCCTGGTAGAGCCGGCACAGCGGGCTACGCAGGGACAACCTAGAGAATGTGGTGGTTAAAAACAATGGCTTTCCACGTGAAATTACGCTTAAACTGGATGCAGACTCAGAGGTAGCCTTGAGATAGGTCTACTGAACATATGGATATAACTGGCATTCAAAAATCCCAATACAATCCTTCAGTCCTTGCAAATAAACTTACACATTACATTTAAAATGAAACCCTAATCACGAGTACAGACCTATTAACAATTACCAAACTTAATTTTTGGTAATAAAGCTCCATAAAGCTATAGAAAAATTGTATATAAAACACTATGTAACCGTGCTTAACAGGTGATTCCAATCAGAAGATCATGTGTTATTCATACACTTTTAAAATATTCATGATTGTATATTTACATAGCTGGGTACTTCTGGGCAGTACTGTGCGCTTAAGGGCTGAGGAGGATTGCAAACATGGATGTTAGTGTGCCTATCTAGGAAGTTGCTTTACTTCAGAGCATTAAACAACAGTTCAAATTAAAAAATAAAGGCCTCTGTTGTCTCCAGTCTCAAAGTAAGGTCCGAGGGGAAGTGATACCCGAATTAAAACATGGAATAATGTCTCGTGACCGAAGTGAAAGACTCGGGAAGCTACATGACGAGTTCTGAGCCTCCGCAGTGGATCCACATGAGTACAACAGGGTTCTACCTTTGCTGAGATGAAAAGCAAAGGGCCTTCCCCGTGGCCTGCATGATCTTCCCTGCTCGGGTTCGATCCTGGGACCCCTGAGATCGGAGAAAGCGTCCCAGTTCATTTTCCTCCTGGGACAAAACTTGAGATGGTGCGAGAGGAAAAAAACGGTCAGTTATGAACAAGAAAAAGAAAATGATGAAGCAGAACAGGTCGAGGGTTTTAATGTAAAGTTGGAATCAGGAAACATCTGAGGTGGTTCCGATATATTCAGGTCATTAAGACTCTTCGAGAGCACTTATACTGCAATGTTTCTCAGCAAGCTCTTGGAGGGAAAACATCCTAATGACCGTTACGGATTTCTTCACGATACGTATTTGTGAAGCCCCCTCCTGTGGATGCATGGGGGATGTAATACTCACAGCAGATCCTCCTCTGGTATTGCTCAATGACCTTGAGAAGCTCCATGCATGTTCTCTGGATCGAGTGGAACACCTAATCCGGAGACACCGAAGCATCCCTCAGATGTAAAATCTGACATGAACTGTACCTGTGTGACGCTAATGAAATACAATAAGTCCCTGGGTCACGGAGAACTTGTACTTAAGAATGGACTGCCACAAAGCCTATTAAAAATAGGAGATAAATACAATGGTTTGTAATAATGAACACATGCATGAAGCTCATGAAAACACTGCGCAACTTCAGTGGTTCGTCTAAACTGTTTTAAGAACTTTTGCTCTAAAGTGTTTTTTTCAGTAGTGTATACACACACACACAAGTTTGTAATTATATCTATGTGGGGACTCTCCATTCATTTCTATGGGGAAAACTCTAATCCCAAAATGATGACCTTACTAGACAACAGTAATGAAATTCAAACCTAGGTTACAGGTGGCACGTTGGGTTTTCTCAGACCTCCACAACGGAGAGCGACAGGAATCACATCCCATAACAGCAGTTAAGCTAAGTGACATCTCTAAAACGGTCCATAGTGTGCAAGTGTGTATATATGTGCCTAGTGACTGATTACAATCCCATTGATGGTATCAACATAACATATCCTGACTTATTAAATCTAACCTGAGCCCCTTGTCCATTTGTACCTCCTGCTATCTACTACTAACACAATACAGACATCTATATACAGAGGGCAGAGTGGTGGCTCTGAGGCTAGGGATCTGTGCCAGCAACTGGAAGGTTGCTAGTTCAAATCCCATAAATGCCTGGAGTGTTAATACTATGTTGGGCCCTTAACCTGCAATTGCTTCATCCTGGGTATGACGTTACTCTACATTCAGCTCTGTAAGGAGGTCCTCCAACTTACAGGGAATAACTTCGGGGTTGGTGGTAGGATTGGCACTCCAGTCACTGGAAAAAAAACCTCACACTGGTCCATTCAGACTAGTATGGTGCTGAGGTATCACCTGCCACACGGCTGCACTCGGGTTCTCATCCCTGAGGTGGTTTGTCACGTGTTGTCAATTGAATAAAACTGGCACTAGTTGTTTAAGATTTAAAAGAAGACAGAGCGTTCTGCTCCGATTTATAAATGTGTAAAATATCGCGGAGTCAGTGATGATTACAGTTTGCATCTTGCGATTACAGATGTCAGTAGGGGCACACAGCAGTTGGAAGGTGCTCACCTCGAGCTTTGCATCGAGGTCAGCATCTGAGGCCACGACGTGCTCATCTTCCTTCTTCCCTGTCACTCTGATGAGCGTCTGCTTGGTCTTCCAGTACTTCTGCTGAAACTTGTTCACAACCGAGGAGTCCTGGCTTTGGACGAAGCGGTCATAGTACTCGCGGGAATGTCCGCTGCAAACACACCAGAAAGTGGACACTGTTATAGCCAACAGCCACTGATGCAACTTCTGCCGTGCATCTAAATGAAGTTGTTTTCAGGGCATTGCGGTGCACTCACTAATTCCATCCCTCCATGTTTTCACAAGATCTGGAAGATGAGTTGATTCTGTCAAATAAAAAAAAAAACAGTGCAAGATCAATCCACCTGCCAAATATTTTCGGAGTGGGGACACATTCGAAAGCTTGTCACAATGAACTGAAAATCTGATGTAATGTATTCGATTTAGCCGAATTTGCATAAATAACATCGAAATTACTTTGCTAGCAATTCAATAAAAAATCAACAAACATTAAGTAAATTATTCATAAAGCAACATTTTATGAGAATCCGCAGCAGCCCGTGAAGTGCGCGAATGAACAAAACGTGACGTTATTCCCAAAAGGCTTTTCTCGTGCGCTTTTGGTCACGCCCCCAGTTTGCAGTAGATATAAATGTGCAGACAACACTTGCAAGGTCAACTGCCCACCTGGGCAGAAACCCCAATGACAAGGCTGACTGCTGGGAAGCCACAGCAGCCCCGTTACTGGGATACGATCTACTGGGGACGGAATTTCGCAGGAATGCGGCTATCGCGCATCCAAATAGCCTTTCAAGAGTTTCAGTACTAGGCCTGCTTCATAAAGTCTGATAACTTTGGCTACATCGACATAGAGATAGGGGCAAAAATACTAATAATCCCAGTTTAGTGACACGTACATTACATACTGTACTGTAGGATACCCTTGTGAAAAAATAGTGTATTAAAGTATTTACTAAAAAAATACACTTAGCACAGAAAATATACTTTCAGCAAAGTCTATTAAGTGTGTTATATCCTGTACTAAAGTGTATTTAATTATAGATATACTTTTATTCAAGTGTGCTTCAGTGTACTTAATTATGTTTAAATGCAAAATATATTTTCTAAAAGTACACAGAAGTATAATGTCAGTGTATAAAAAAATGTGTAAAGAGAATGCATTTTTATTACACTTCTAGTGATCAAAGCACTGTTAGTACACTATTTTTTCACAAGGGTAGTGATTAAGGATCTATCTGAGGTAATCATTTTTATTCAATTTCTCCACCGTAAATCATTCAGTACCTGAATGTGCCTGATTGTAGAAAGTATTACTACCGATTGAGTCAAATGAATTTCATTTTCTCTTAATACAAACCTTTAAAAGTATTGTTCTACACTTATTAGTCTAATTAATATGACGTACATGGTTAATTATACTAACATATTAGTTATATCCTCCAAAGCATTCTAACAGCTTGCTTGTCGGTGGTACGTTAAATATTGAAAATATTTATCTTAACACATATCTTACCACGTCTTTTGTAGCGAGCAACACCATCCCATCCCGGTGAAATGACATTTCCGTGTACTGTATGCTCACCACGCCTTCTCTAAACAAATACTGCCTTGCTCATTCTACACCTACCTATTAAACACTATACTTCAGATTCATATGAGGAAGAAGACTTCAGCAATTCCTTACATTTAAATAGTAGTAGTAAACTATATCATTAGGAATGTTCCTCTAATATTATTTCTGCCTTTGTTACGATCACTAAGCCTGTGAGATATCATACACTCCTTCATTTAATTCAGCTCAATTTCTAATTCATTCTGCATGAAAATACTGTAAGCTGTGTCTTCAGGGCCATACGCCTTAAGCTTAATAAGTCCAGAACATGCGGGCCTGTCCAACAGCCTACAGTGTAGATGTTATTTACTGTAGTCCAGTAAATATATATAGCTTCCCAGTATTTAAACATGATGCTAGGCTTTCAGCCTCTTGATTAATCGCGAACAAAATATGGTATTATTTACAAGACCTTTAAAAGAGTGAGTACAGCTGAGCCCCTAATAATGACCGACTTTATCTGTCTGTAAACTACAGGACTGATTTAACATATTTAATGTTCCCAACGTAACCTTGGAAAAACAGAACGTCTGGGCCAAGTCTTTTCCAGTCTTTCCAGTAAAGCCATGATATGCTGTTTGTAACTGAAACTGAATCGTGGCATCTAGCAGGCCGCATATTCTAAAATATACATTTTATAACACTGCAACGTTGAATAACACGTCAAACGATTCAACGACTTAAAATAAATACTTCCCAATTGATATGATGACTTCAAGAAAATCGGGCTGCCAACAGAAGCACAATGGACGTTTCGTGAACGGCAATGAGGCTGCAGAAAGAGGGCGTGTGCGCGCAAAAAAGCGGAAAAATAAAACACATACATATATACAGGCCTGCTGTCATCCCCCTACACCGACCAGCAGACCCCTCCTGCGGGCATCTTCTCACGCTCGCCGTTTCTTCTCCCGCAATTAACGATCGTGCGGCATATTTTTCCTAGATATTCACCGTGGCTTTCATTTACTCCATCCGCAGCGGCCACGTTTGCCCATTCAGCCGCACCAAAATAAACAGGACCTGCTCCCCTCACCGCATACACACCGATCGCTGCGGGCTGTTAAAGAGCTCACGACTGCCAAGCCTACGTACACAACACCTACTCACCCGATGACGTTCACGCCACTTTAACGTGAAATTATTGTTTCCGATTAGCGTTCGGCCATCATCATTAAATTTGCCTTTGACAGGCTATATTCGGTAACGCCGGTTGTCGGAGTACGTACAGTAACGTTACAGCAATGCCGCGGGAATCAGCTGACGTCATGCGTGCAGCCGAGCGCGTCCATGGGGTGGGTGCATGGTGCACCTGGGGTAAGCAAACACTGCAAGTACACCCTTCTGCTCAGCAAACTACTGCTATACAGTTATACTGTTTAACGTAACTGATGGAAAATTCGAAAGACAGTTGAAGGAGTGCATATCTGAGCAATGTAACTGTATAACAACCGGCAGACCCAGGCGTCGCGGGGGCATAAACGAAGGATAGGACACCAGTTGAGAAAAGTACTCTGTAATTACAGTATTTTCAAGGACTGCACACACATCACATCCACAACTCAAACATGTTACAGGGAAAGCCGGGGGGTGGGGGGGATCGACGCCGGACGGTGACACACAAGGTGGGTAATATACAAACACAGATACTGTAAGGGCGCACGTGACAATCGGGTCCGCAGACCAGCTGTTTACAGCAAGACATGCACATGGACTGTTTACAAGGCTCGCGAGCAAGCGGGGAAATGCTAATATGCTCCCGCTACTCCGCCCTCACTACATTATATTCAGTTTATTTATTAGTGTTCTGTCCTTCAGTCGTCCAATGGCTTATCCAGAACAAGGGTGTGAGAAGGCTGGAGCCTTTCCCAGGCAGTATAGGGCATACGGCAGGAGAACACCCTGAACCAGTCCAGTGCAGGATACACACATATACTCTATCCACCACTCACTTTCAGTGTGAGCACTGTTGATACATTGCATACACTTATGGATTAGCTTGCATAAATTTGCACTACAAATGCAATCTATGCAGTCGTTCTAATGTATTTTTTCAAGTAGGAGGTTGAAGAGTCATGTGGGGTCACGATGCAGGATGGCTGCATTTACAGTAGGAGTTCTCCATTACACCGCCAATAAATCAAAATATTCTTATGCACGGTTTTTCTTTTAGTTATTCTCTGGTTGTATTTAAGTCTTGTCTAAATTACCAGAAACATCCAGGACCCACACTAAAATGTCAACAAATACATCAAATTTTTTTGAACAACACACCTGACCTAAATTGTGGGATCTAGCAGGCCAACAATGGAGACCAACACGTAGGTATGGAAAATTTATTCGTCAAAGTCAGTAAAATTAATGTGACATTACATACCAAAGCTTCAGACATTTCAACCATTAGAGAAACAAATGGAATATAAATAACAGAATAAGCGCTATTCAAGAGCGTCTCATGGACAGCGAAGGCTGCGTTTGTACCATGGAAGATGTCACTCAACAGTTGGTCGGAGCAGGAAAACAGAACAAAACAATGTATGCACATTCTTTGGAGAAATGGAGAATTGGAGCCGCCGTAATAATGTGAGACTTGGAGTGAGAGTGGGCATTGAAGCTGGAAATACTGTATAACTGGCTGCATACAAAGAATTTTGTCTACAGGGCTCAGCATCGAGGTAAATGGTGAATCTGAGATTGAGAGAGCACACCGCTCTCCTGGTCCACAGCTCAATAATCATCAACTGTCCACCCAGAATAATCCTGATTAAATTTCTACAATCGTCAGCTCAGGAGAAGGTCTTAAAGGCTGCAAGAGAGAAGGAGCGATGAAGTGGATGGGCCGTAGAACCTCTGTCTTTCTGGACATGTCAAAACAATTGGCAGAGAAAAGAAAACTACTGCAAGAGATGAATGCAAAATACACCCTGGCTTATCCTGCAACACTCTGCTTCACGTGGAAGGGAGTGAACAAAGTTTGCCATCACCACAGGCGGTAAGGTTCACCCAAGAGATCAGCGGCAGTGATGCTTAAAGGGGACCTATATAAAGTACAGTACGACATATGGAGAAAGACAACTCAGGTAATGTGGGCTGGGTAACTCCTGTGTACAGTAGCTGTAGCTATGGCTGATGTCTTTGACATTCCACAGACCGAAATGGATGTTCATTCTTTGATTATTTTCCAACACGTTTTGTCTTACTGCTGGGGGATTTAACATCTACTTTGAGTGAGTTTAATATTTCAGTTTATTTTTCAGGGTTTTCTTATATCTGTTTTGTTCTGTAGGCTGTCGTTGTAAAGCACCTACAAAACTATAAAGTCAACTATAAATTAGCGCAAATGGGGCTCGTTGTTGTAACACCTGTGTGGCATTTGAGTACATAACAGGGATATCTACTGTACCACTCAGAACTGACCTGAGAATGACCTTGAAAATCAAATTCAATTCATAAATTGATTGAACACACGGTGCAGAATCGCAATTCGACTTTGAATAGATGAAACTTGAATGAAAATGGAATTGAATTCACATAAATTCATATACATAGCGTAAGCCTTAACAATACAACTTAATATTTCAGTATGAATTACCCAGCATGTTAACATAAACAGAATATACTGGAATCCTGGCCCTACCCCCCAAGCGATCACGGATATTTACGGCAGCAAAAAGTACCAATAGACCATACCCCCATCCTCCCGCTCCCCCCTGTTCCAGCACCTGCCTGAACAGTCTGTGCATGTCACTGTTATTCATAATTAATGCCACATTTGAAGTGTTGCCTATAGAATAAATAATTTAATTGTGGTTTTGTGTACCATGGTGAAAGAGCACTTCATACAGCCATAAAAGTAGCCCTATCACAATCACAATAGCATTTATGATGGAGACTGCCTGCTATGAGCTGATGTTAGCTAGGATGGGGGATAGAGGATCAACTGTAATAGAAGTTTGTCAAACTGTTGTGAACCATATAAATTGTCAGTAAGATTTTTATTAAGAGGCAGCTGAAAAACAATATGGACTTTGTAAGTGAATCCCGTATTTCTGTTAGCAATGGGGCAGTGTCATTAGGATGCTTTACCTTCCCTGTGTTCCCTCACTGGTATTAGCCATGGAGCTGCTGTGTACCTATTTTTGAAAACAATAGATATTTAAATAACAAAAAAAGGACGTCAGAAAATTTCAAGTTCCAAGTTATAGGGAATGCATCATATCGTCAGAGATTCCCAGTTCTTCCTTGTCTTGGGGTACTTTGATGAAGGACTGAGTGAGGACAGGCCACCTCATCTGGCAAGGAGCAGGACTGGAAGTTCTCAGGTGCAGTCAGACCCAGACACTCTCAGGGTGTGAGGGATGCCTGGTGGCTGGGGCTCTTACCATATCCTCCATGGCAAGCAAACAACCCTCCGTGTCATCCTACCTCCCAGGCTTCCAACTCTTGGGGAAAGCTCCATCACCCAATCCCCTAACTATTTGGGTGTGCTCATCGCCTCAGGAGACCTTCGAGTGCCAGGGTCTTTGAGCAGTTCTTCATACCTGCTTTGGAGGGGGGACGAGTCTCAGGCCAGGTAACCTGGAGCTGGTGATAGTCAGAAGGATTAACATTGCAGAATGGGAGGCTCACTGGAAGCACGGCAGAATCGTCTTTGAACAAGGGACATGTGTGAGCTGTAACTAATTAACTAAACACTAAAGACTAGGGGCAACAAGGAACAGGTTAGGGTCATCATAACAACAATCGTAAGGCACTGAAACACCAGGAAATACTAACGCAAGAGAAATAGGGATGACCCGGATCTAAAACACGAAACAAGGACCAATACTGAGTAACATGAACAAAAGATAATTAACAAGGGAAAAAAACACAATTCAAAATGTCTAACAACGTTGGACGCTTCAACCCATGATGGTAATGGCCAATTCATACATAAATTTGGTCATCATGGATTGGCTGTGGACGGCTGTGCTCAGTGTGCATGTAGCCCAAGTTTTTAAGTCTAGCAGAAACCTTGTGCATCTGTGCACAACAGCCGTGCATGTGCAAGGTAATTGATTAGGTATCTCCCGTAGGTGGCAGCGTGGACTTACACAGATTAGCATTCAATGGCCAAAACGTACAGGAATAATAGTTGTTGTTGTAGAAGTTATGGTGAGCAGTTGTATAAAGAGATTAGGAGATACCCGCATATCTAATTTTTCATACTGTCCAGACATTATACCGAGGTATATGGTATTTTAAAAAGCAGCACTAATCCAGCTTTTTGAAATCTTGGTGATAAAATTCACCGAGTGGGAGTTTCCGGCCAATTTTGTTGTAAGGATTGTTATATATTTCGGTATGCCATATTACCGTATACTATCGCCCAAGCCTAGACTAATTACTTTAAACCTGTTGATAAAAGTTAATCTGTTTCACTGCACTGCTTGTACAGTGGTACATCAGAACTCAAATTTAATCCGTTCAGAACTCCGGATCGAATCCTAAAAAGTTTGAGTTGTGATTGAATTTTCCCCATAAGAAATAATGGAAAACCAATTAATTGGTTCCTGGCCCCAAAAAATTACACGTTTTTTTTTAGCTTTTAAACATAAAATGAACCGGATAAAATAAGAAGAGCATATACTGTACTATACACATCTAAGCACATTTATCAAAACAGTAATTTGTAAAGTAAGAAAATAAATGTATCCAAACAATGTGTCCTGCCCTGATCGTCCGCTCCTTCCATGTGCCACGCGATCGTAGGTGTTTCGTCATGTGATGGGTAT